GAGCGGCAGCGTCCCGGAGCCGCCGGGCCACGGCTCCCGGGAGCTGCCGGCTGGCTGGGCACAGCCGCGCTGGGGAGGGCGGCCGACAGCGCACGGACAATGGGGGGGTCAGGGAGGTTAAATGCTGACTAATTCGCCCATTCAGCGTCCCCTCCGCCGCTCGGGGGACACACACCGCCGTGCCGTGACACCGCCCGCGTACCCCCAGGGTCACCCGCATGGCTCCTTCCCCCAGCCTGTGTGGGGAGGAGGTGGGCAGCGGCTGGTCTCGGGAGCCCCCAGACCGCCGGGCCGATGGAGGGGGATCGGGACTGGGTTTGTCACTGGGTGGATCCTTTGCCCACCGCGTCCCCTGGCCCGAGGAGGAGGAGGCAGCGGTGCAAAGAAGCACCTGCGCTCGGGCCGTGTCCCCCGTGGAGGGGACAATGCTGGGAACTGGTGTGAACAATGGTGCCGACGGAAGCTGCCGGGCCCCCTCCCCAGCTGCCCCCGCGGAAGCGGCCCCCAGCCCAGCCATGCTCCGGCGGCAGGAATCCCGCCGGGCCGGTCAGTGGAGTCACCGCCGGCCCTGGCCATGTGGGCGAGGCTCCACCAGCACATCCCCCACCAGCAAAGGTGCTGGGAGATTTCTGGGGAGGGGGCACACGCATCCCTGCCCCCAGCAGCCCCTTCGCACAAGGGGCTGTGCCCTGGGGGGGCTCGCAGGGGATTAGGGATGGGGACAGCCAGGGGTGACCTGTACCTAAGCCGAGCGCTTTATCTGTGTAGGAATCTGCTCCGGGGCTGGACGCTCCCTTTGCCCTTCCCCAGGGAGGGACTGGCCCCAGCAAACCCCGCACCCCACACCGGGGGGGCTGTGCCTGGAGAGGGGCTGCAGCCTCGGGCACCCCCAGCCCTGACCCAGCCATCGCCTTACGGGAAATCACATCCCCAAAACTCTGCGTCCCTCGCCAATCCTTGGTGCTGGTTTTTACAAATAACTTTCTTTTTCTGAACAAGTGCCCTCTCCGACCCCACTGCGGGTCCCGGCGTGCCAGAGGCTGTGTATGGGCTGGGAGTGGGACGGGAAACACGCCATAAATGTGTTTATTCTTCGTTAAAGAAGTGGTTAGTGTGCGCGGGCTCTTCCCCAGCCCGGCGTGGCCCCTCGGCTGCCCGCTGGACAAAGGGATGCATCCCGGGGGGCTGCCAGAGGAAGGAAGGCAAGAAAAGGAGAGAAGCAGCCCCTCAGCCTGTCACTGCTGGTCCTGCTACCTGCCGAGACAGGGTGGGCTCTCCCCGCCGCTGCCTGCATTGTGGGTTTTTTTTCCTTAAATACAGGAATTTGGGAGAGTTTAGCCCCTGGAAGGTGGAGGTTGCCACCAGCCCCCAGCCCTGCTGCAGTGGCCCTCGGGTCTGTCCCCAGTCCCGGCTCACGTCACGGTGTGCACGTCCCAAACCGGTTTTGGAGAGAAGGAGGAAAACCGAGAGTGTTGCCACTTCCTGGCGATGGAAAAGAAACTTGAAAATTAATCCCCGAGGCCTGAAAACCCGGAACCAAGCGGGGGGGGAGGGAAAGGGGAGGTGTTTTTAACTCGGGCGTGGGATGCAGGGACACAGACACCTCATGGGGCAGACAAGGGCCTGCCAGAGGGGAGATTTGCCTGGCACCAGCATGACCCCCGGCATTCCCGGAGCCTTGTGAAATGGCGCTTCCCCTCCTCCTCGTAATTGCCCCCCTTGCCCCAGCTCGGGGGGGAGGTCGGACCCCCGGCACGCACCGCGCCCGTGCCGAGGGCTCTCCCGCATTCCTGGCATTGCCCAGGGGCCGCCTCCCGCCCGCCCTTTGAAAGCCAACGGCTTGGGATTTTCCTGTAATCTGGTTTGAAACATTAATCCGGTCATCCACACCAAACGCCGGGCCGGCATCCTGCCGGGGCGCTGGGCCGGGGTCAGGGCCACCCGCCCACCGCCTGCCTAATTCCTCCTCCACTTAATTATAGATCTGCTGGCAACGGCCATCTGGCTCCGTGTCCTCAGCCGGCCGGGGGCCGGGGCCAAGGGGGCTGCACTGCGGCCAGGTGGGCTGGACAGTGTGGCCAGAGCCAGCCGTGCCGCTGGCATCAAGCATTCGCCCTGGGGAGGGTCAGCACTGGGAGCACAGGGTGCGTGGAGGCAGATCCCCCAGCCCAGGGGACTCTCAGAGAGGTGGGGGGCATCTCCTGGTGCCCCCAGCCAGGCTGGGGTGGCTGTGCCGCAGCATCCCCTGGCACCGCGCTCTGCCGTGGGGGACCCCACGGTAAGAGGATATTCCTGGGACAGCTGCGTTATGGATTAAGTTGTTTCCACTTCCCTAATTACAAAACATAAATGTATTGACTCAGCGGCACAGGGTGGCCTTGCCTGCGGCTCCTGCCCGCCGGTACCTTTGCACCGAGACGCTGCATGTCCCTGCGAGGAGCTGCCTTTGAGCTGAGCAGAAGCCAGGGCCGAGAGCAGGAGGCAGGGCACAGGCAGGGATCAGCACCAAGCAGGCAAAAGACTCAGCACCTGCTGATTTCGGTGCAGCAGTGCCAGCAGCTGCCAGCCTGTGCCAAGCTCAGCTGCGCGCTGGGTTTCGCATGCTGCAGAAACCAGAAGGTTTCTGTTCCTCAATTTGCATTGTGAGCCCCGCTGTCCCAGCTGTCCTGCGCTGCCGTTGGGGCTCACGGGGCGCCGGCTGCTTTGCCGTTGGCTGCGGATGGCGTCAATGCAAGGAAATCCTGCGAGGGGCTGCTGGGAGTCACTCGTCTCTGTCCCCTTCCGTATCTTGGCTGTGCGAGGGGGCGAGGGGGAACGGGGCTGGTAAGGGAGGACAGGGGCAGCTTGGCAAATGCCACTCTGTCACACACCACAGCGCACACCGGGCACGTCCCGGCCATGGCTGGGCATGTCCTTGCCCCACAGTGCTGCTGGATGAGCGCCTTGGGCAGGTGCCCATCGCTGGCAGTTGGTTCTGCTGGCAGTGGCAGAGCTAAACCAGGGTTTGGGGGGTCCCAAGGGGAGCCTGTTTCTCTGCTTGGCACTGCAGTGGTCAGTGAGCAGCAAAGCTGTCGAAGTCTTGCCAGTAACTGTCAGCAGCAGCTTGTGCAACATCCTTTGCCTGGCAGCCGTGGCGGGTGTGTCGGCTGGGCTGTGAGGTCACCGGGCAAGAACGGGGATCCCTCTGCCCACCATCCCTGGGGACCCCCATGAATTCATCCCAGTTGGGCAGGGGTCAGAGAGTGGCTGCAGCCAGCTGAGCGTGGCTTGGGACCACTGGGGCCGGTGGAAGGCCAGCACACAGGGCAGCTGCCCGCCGCGGCCACTAATCCCCCTGTCCTGGCCGGCCACGCTCTCCTCAGCTGACGGTTAATTTTCTTTCATCCTCTTAAACGTGTCCTTCCCCTCGGGACTGAGTCATGGAAGGGGGGTGGGGATCATGACCCCAAGGGTCTTGGCAGATGAACCAGCGTGTTTGGCACTTCCCCAGGATGGCTCCACACCCCACAGGATCGGGTGCCGGGGAAGCCCTTTCTCTGTGTGTGGCTTTCCTGCTCAAGGAAACGGGGGAGGCTGGATTGGCACCAGCCCAACATCCCTCAGCTGGCACAAGTAGCCTGGTGCAGCTCAGCCCCAAAAATCACGGCAGTGGTGCTGTGCCCTGGCTCACTCCCCCCACACCAGACCCCTTGCTGGAGCTCTGGGGTGGGAGAGGGGCTTTGAGGGTCTCTGCCGGTGTTGCTGGTGACTCCTGCCCTTGCCCTGGGGGTGTGCAAGGGGCTGGTCGAGCCTGCCAAGTTTCCCAGGGGAACTAAGGGGGTTTATGGCCTTGCTTATCATGCGGCCCCATTGATCCCTTTGATCGGCGCCAGCGGGCGAGTCCAGCCCTGCGGGATCCGGATCCTCCCTGCAGGGCTGCAGGAGGAGGGGGCTCAAACCCCTCACTCACAGCCAGGATGATGCCCACACCCATCCACCTGCCCAGGGTCCTGGTGCCACAGGGCGTAGCCATGGGGGGAGTGGGCACATGGGTGACCCAGTGACGGGCAGCGGTGGCCCCACGGTGCGTGCCTGGTGTATTATGGAGGGGTATTTATAGGCCCCTCCCGGCCCCACTGGCAGTTGTTCAGAGCTGTCATTGAGAAAAGCAGAGCTGTGGTGGCCACCCCTGTTGGTGTCCTGCCCCCACAGCCTCTGCCCCAACACCCTTCCCGGGATGGGGGGGGATTATCCACCAGCCTCCAGGCAGGAACAGTGCTGGGCTCCGGGAGAGGCCGCGTGGCGTGGCGTGGTGTGTGCCTCCGGCGTGCCGGGCGCTCCAACCGGCCGATCCTGCACCATAAATCAGGCAGGAATGTGCCGGGCTGGCGGGCTGGGGGTCCTGGCTGGAGGTGCCCCAAGCAGGGCTGGTGATTGAGGTGCAGCGTGTCAGAGCCTGGCCCAGCTCTGTCCCTGCAGGGCCATGGCACACAAGCTCACGTCAAGGCACATGAGGTGCTGGCTCCCGGCCATGGCTCTCTGTGGCACCCCAAGCGTGGAGGGACCGTGCTGAAGCGTTGCTGTGCTGAGCAGGCAGTGGATGCTAAAAATAACTGGGATCAGCTTTCCCGGGAGGAGCCGGGGCCGAGCACGGTGCTGGCAGCCTGGGAGCCACTCTGGCCATGATCCCAGCACCGGCATCCCGGAGCTGAGCTCCGAGCAGGGCGGGCAGAGAACGGAACAGTGGGGCACAGGCAAAGGTCAGCCCAAGCTGCAGGAGCCACCTCGACCCATGCAGGGACCCCCGTGAGCCATTTGGTGTCCTTTGAGCCACACAGCTGCTGCAGTGGAACCGGGGGTCTCAGGTGGGGGGACACACGGGTTAAGGGGGTTTTTGAGCATCTCTCTGTTCTCCTTATGCAGCTGTACGAGCTGGATGGTGACCCCAGGAGGAAGGAGTTCCTGGACGACCTCTTCAGCTTCATGCAGAAGCGAGGTGAGTCCCCAGCTGCGCTCTCACCCTGTGTCCCCACGCCCACTCTGTGCCCACCCTGCTCCACCACACCCACCTTGCGTCCCCCACATCCCCACCAGGGCCTGGGGTTCATTTCCTTGCCCCTCGTTAGTGCCCCGAGGTCACGGCTCCGGCTGAGCTGCTGGTTAATCTTTAACCCCTCAGCACAACAGGGTCAAACCTGCTGGGCTGGATCCAGTGCCTGCGGCCCCCCCTCCCTTCACCCACGGCACCCAGACCTGCAGCCCCTCCCCACACAGCACCCCTGGCTGTGTGCCCCCTCTGCCCATTCCCTGGGTTATTCCAGGGGGCAAAGCCCCTTGCTGTCCAGGGAGAGGCCACGGAGGGGGGCGCCAGGGATGAGAAGGGCTGAAAGCCAAGCGTGCTCCTGCTCGAGGGTCTGGCTCCTGCGTGGAAAACAGCGCTGGAAGTGCTGACACAGGGCTGGCTCCGGCCCTTTGTCACACAGAGTGAACTGGGAAGGCACGTGTGCCTGCACAGCGGGGCTGGGGCTGCTGGCTGGGTCCCCCAGGGTTCCCCTGGCTCTGGCTGTGTCCCCTGTGGTCCCCCGACTTGCATCCCCAGGGGTCACCCCACCTGCATCCTTTGGGGACCCCCAGAGCCCCCTCACCGCAGGGCTGGGAGGGGAGGGACCCCAATGAGGGAGCAGGTGCTGCCAGCCCCCTCCTCATGTTGGAGGGGTGACTCCCCCAGCTCATAGGAGACCCTCACAGCCGGATTGTGCCGCCCCCGTTATAAATAACTCGCGTTGCGGGTGCTGGCTCAGCCCGAGGAACCGGCTCGGCCGCGATGGGGCTGTGGCTGGAAACTGCGAGTTTCTGTTTCCTTTGTTCGGGGCTGATCTCGGCGGGAGGGCCCAGGGGGGAAGAAGGGGACGGTGCAAGGGGAGGGAGGAGCAGGAGCCCCCCCTAGCCTCTCCATTGCCCCGCGGGGGTCTTGGCAGCTGCGCCCCGACTTCGGGTAGGAAAGCAGCACCCCAGACCCGCTCTCTCCTCCCGCCGCTCCCCAGGGACCCCCGTGAACCGGATCCCCATCATGGCCAAGCAGGTGCTGGACCTGTACATGCTGTACACGCTGGTGACCGAGAAGGGGGGGCTGGTGGAGGTCATCAACAAGAAGCTGTGGCGGGAGATCACCAAGGGGCTGAGCCTGCCCACGTCCATCACCAGCGCGGCCTTCACCCTGCGCACCCAGTGAGCGTGGGCTCGGAGGGGAGGGGAGAGGGGCGAGTCCTTGGGGGTCCCTCTGCCCTGTGCAGGGGAGGGGGGCTCAGCACAGCCCTGTGTGTGAGCAGTGGGGAGGGAGCAATGGGGTGGCACACGGGAAGGGGTTCCCAGGCACTGCGTCACCCTCACCATCCCCACCTGTGTCCCATCCGGCCACAGGTACATGAAGTACCTGTACCCCTACGAGTGTGAGAAGCGCGGGCTGAGCAACCCCAACGAGCTGCAGGCGGCCATCGACAGCAACCGGCGGGAGGGCCGGCGGCAGGGCTTCGGCGGCTCCCTCTTCGCCTACTCGCCCGGCGGCACCCACGGCCTCCTCTCCTCGCCCAAGCTGCCAGTGCCGGCGCTGGGGCTGGCATCTGCCACCAACGGC